CCCCCCCCCCCCCCCAGCTCACCTCCGCCTCCTCCCCCGAGCGCCGCCGCTCCGCTTCTCCCCCCGCCCTCCCAGGCAAGCCTGGGAGGGAGGGGTAGGAGGGGAAATGCGGCATGCCCGGGGGAGGAGGCGGGGCCGAGGATTTGGGGAAGGAGTTGGAATGGGGCGGGGAAGGGGCGGAGTTGGGGCGGAGCTGGGGGGACGCGGGATAATTTTTTTGCTTGGGGCGGCAAAAAACTTGGAGCCAGCCCTGGCTCAGCTGTGCCACTGTCCTGGTGTTACCCCCATCCCATCCCATCGAGTTTATTGGTCGGCTCCCAGGAACCCGGGCCGTGTTGATGGGGTGGCGGGCCTGGGACGGGCGTTGGGAGGATGCCTGGTGGTGCCAGGCCACCGGCCGCCCCTGACTCCTCTCCTCTCTCTTCTTTCCAGGCCTATTCTCAGGATGCCTACTTGAAGGGCAATGAACCCTACTCCGGGGGAGCCCAGAGCATCCCGGAGCCACCTCCCGTCTGTTACCCACGGAAGACCTACCCGTTCCAGTCCAGGGCTCCCAGCCGGGAGGTGATGGTAGCCGAGCCTTTGCAGGGACAGCAGGCGGACGGCAGATCCTACCGGCCTGCTCCTTCAGGCCCATCTTCCCCCTTGAACAGCGCGGCGCTCGGCAGCTCCATGCCCAGCACGTGGAACGAGGCCAGAAGCGACGCCGCTCGGGAGATCGGCAGCACCCATTCCAGCCCGGCCCACCGCACAGAAGAGATCCAGTATGGAATGACCCAGCCGAGGCCCAGGATGCCCGTCGCAAGGCCGGTCCCAGCCCCCGGCTCCTTCTCGCGCGTCTCCAACACCAGCTTTGCAGGTCCCCTTGCTTCTTCCTTGCCAGAGAGGTACGGTGTCCCGACTGCTTCCTCCATGGCCAGCCAGGCCTGCTACGGGGTCCCCAGGCACCTCCCAGACCATCGGACTCACTGCGGTTTCAAGGATGGCCGGGATGTTAGCATGGGGCCTGGCGGCCCGGGCCGTCCCTCCTGGGAGTATCTGGGCGGCCCCAAGGCCGTCAGCCGGCTGGAGTGCCAGCAGGCGCTCTCCAACTGGCTGTCCAGCCAGGTGCCACGCCGGAGCACCTCGGAAGAGCGGAGGTACGCCATGCCACCCCGGTACCGCAGCGTCTCTCAGGACCGCCTGGGAGACACCCCGGCCTCCAGAGGCTGGCCCCACAGTGCCTCGCAAGACACCTTGCTCCAGCCCAGCCACGACAGCTGGGGCTACCGGGCCCGGTCCGACAACTCCCTGGGGAGGTACGGGCGCTCCATGGAGGCGCTGGAGCAGAGCGCCCTGGTCTCGCCCCGCTTGGACAAGTGCACGTGGCTGCCGGAGAAGTTCTATAGGCCGGGCCCCGGGCAAGTTGCCCGAGCTCAGCCTAGCCAGACAAGTTCGTACGCCCCCTCCTGCTCCTCTAGAGAGCCTCCCCCCGCCCACGTGCAGAAACACCCTTCCCAGCCCAACCTGCAGAGCGTCGACGACTCGGGGTACATTGGGTATAGAAGCTACAGCCCCTCCTTTCAGCGCAGGACTGGCCTACTCCACGCACTCTCCTTCAGGGACCCTATCTTTGGTGGCCTTCCAGTGTTCAATATATCGCAAAGGCAAGGAACCCAACCAGCACCTTACCCGGACAGGTCCCCGTCACTGCCAGCTGCCGCCCCCCCTGGCCCGGAGCCCCCGCCGGGCAGTGGGCCCGAGATTCCCAAGGACCAAAGAACCCCCAGCCAAGACAGCGGTGCCAGGTCTCTCCAGCCGCCTCTGCCTCGGCCCGAGGCGGAGGAGAGGAAAGAGGAGGTGGTCCTCAGGCAGAAGCCCCCCACGGGCCGCAAGGCGCCGGCCCCCGCCAGGCAGATGAACTTCATCTTCCCCGACCACATGAAGGAAACGGACATTTGTGACCCGCCGCTGAGCGGCAAAGGGGACAAGCCACCGACGGAGCGGCCCGCCCGGAGGGTGGCACCATTGGCAGTGCCAGAGGATTCCCTGGCATCCATTCCATTTATAGGTGAGGGGGCAGTGTTTGGGCATGCCAGGCACTGGGGTGTGTTTGTGGGGGTCTCACAGCTGCGTATCGAGCCAGGGAGCATCTCGCCTCCGAAAGCCCAGCCCCAGGGATCCCCTCGGGGCGGGACGCAGCCTCGGTTGCAGGGTAATGAATGCTGCGGAGCAGGCGTCACCCGCTGGTAATGACGTGTCCCCGCTGGGTCTGATCCGCAGAGGGTACAGGCCTGTTAAAGCCCCGCCGACAGAGTCCTGGCTCTTTAGCTCAAGCTGTAGCCCTTCCTGTCTTTCGCCCCAAAGGTCCCTGGTTCGATCCCTGGGGCATCAGCCAAGCCGGCAGCTGGTGCACAGGCAGATCCGACTGTAGGCTGAAGCCAGGTGCAGCCGCCTGCTTGGATGAGTGTGTCTGGTTTGGAGACGCACATTCACGGCAGCAGCTGGGGGAGTAGCAGGCAGCCACGGGTCTCTTCTTGCCAACCCACCATGGATGTGCTAGGTGGTCCCGGAGATCAGGAGAGCAAAGGACCAGAGACATCGGGGTGGAAAGAAGGGGGTGAAGAAGGGTGGCAGGGGGCCGGGTGGGCCATTGCCCTGGTCTTGTGGTAGCCCACTGTGGTCATCCAGACAGTCAGGTCAGGCCCAAAGCAGAGCTTGTCCTTGCAGGCAGCAAAGCCCAGGGGGGCGTGGGGAGGAAGCCTCCAGCTTGGGGTAGGGAGAAGGGGTCCCCAATCCGGCCAGTGGCGGAAGGGGCAGGGACGCCCACGAAGGAGCTTTCTGGCCAAGGGACCTGGCCACTGGGATCCCGTGACTGCCGTTGTCCCTTTGCACAGCGGGGAGGCCGGGACCGTCCCCTAACCTGCCTTAAAGCTGGACGCCAGCCTTGGACGGCCGAACAGCCCATCAAGACAGCCTCTGATCGTTCCATTGCCCCTTCCACTCGCTGTTAGACTCGGCACACCCGCGAGCACCCCTCTCCCCAGAGCCCTGCAGGCGGAGCTGCTTGCAGGGGCTTGGTAGGATCTGGCCTTATTTGCTGTCGGCGAAAGGTGCCTGCCTGGCAACCCCTGAGGCTGAATTCCATCAGCTGGCTGCCAGAGAGGCAGGGGACGGGCACTGCCCCCAACAGGGAGAGTCCTGCCTCTCCGGGTGCCGCGGACCTGGGCTGAGCCCCCGCAACACACTTCGCTGTCTGGCTGTGCTAGATTCAGACTAGCTAACCAGAGGCCAAAGGCTTCGTCTCCTGTTTCTGGTCTCCTGTGCCATCCGATTCCTCTGCGCTGCACCGGGAGGGGGCTGGTCACAGGATCTCCACCCCCCTGGACAGGGCAGGGATGTGGTTAGCGAGGTTGCTGCAGCCGTCCCCGCCCGCCCAGCGCTGGCCTCCGGCTCACCAGGGCAGGCCCGGCTTCCCAGGAGTACGTCTCTCCAGCCTGGGCTTGGCAGAGTCTTGACAAAGCCTGCCGGTGTCCCATGCGCTCAGTGCCCGGGAACTCCCCCAGCCAACAGGCACCAGAAGGGAGAAGACCAGAGACCAGCTCCGCGGCCTGACTTTGGGGCCACCAGCCCTGGGGGACGAGGGGCTGCTGGGCTCCCTGGGGAGGCACCATCCCCCATGGCAGCGGTGGCTGCCTGGTCCCTTGCTGCCCCCTGGGAGGTCACAGTACGGGGGCTCCAACTTGCCTGGTACCCCCCTTTCCCTGCTGCTGACCGTGCCGTTTCCCCGACGCTGGTCCAGCTGCAGCCAGACCAGACACGGCCGCTCGGGGGTTTCAGGACAGGGGGGAGGTAGAGACTCCAGGGAACCTGCCGACCCTGCCGCCTTGGTGTGTCTCCTGAGCTGGGCAGGCCCAGCTGCTCGCGGGGTGACTGAGGTCTCCATGCCAGCCCAGCAGCTGGTCTCTCCTGAGCACAGGCCCCGGGGAAAGGGGTTGATTCTCCTCTGCCTGCCCTGCAGCCGCCTCGTCCCCAGGCTTTCCTGGGGGGCTGAGATGAAACCTGCCTGGGGTTCCCAGTGAGACCCCGAGGATGGGCAGCTCTGGCCCTGTCAGCCTCTTTCCGCTCGCTGGGCCCCGTCGTGGCCTTTCTCCCTGGCACATGCCGTCTCCTCGTACCCGGGAGAGACCACGGCACAATGGAAGCCTTACTCTGCTGCCCGCGACGTGCCCAGCCTGGCACTGTGGGACCGTTGTTCTCCACGCATTCCTCACAAGCCTGGCTATTGTTAGTGCACCCGGCCCGGCCCGGCCCGCCTTTGTTCCCCTGGCCACCTTGCCTGGGGGAAGCAGCGGCACGGGGCTGCCCCGGCGCACACAGCCCGCCTTGTTGGCAGCGGAGCAGGTGCATCGAGGCAGGGCCCTCTCCCCCCGCCTCATTCCGCATGCAACCTCTCCCGCTAGTTCCCATCCCCCTGCCCCGCTCCAGCGAAGAGCAGCTGTGCGTACCTAGAACATGGCATCAAGCCCTGGCGGCACCTCCGTGACGGGATATCGGTGCCCCCCCGGCACGGACGCTGCCGCCTGGGCTCCGTGCCTCAGCCCCAGCGAGCGCTCCCCTGGCCTGCAGCTCTCAGGGCTCCTCGGAGATGGAGGGCAGGGCTGCTTTCTCTGGCATTGGCGGCCATGGGGGATGACCGGTTTGCTTGGGGAGGCAGCCCTAGGTTTGGAGGGGTAGGGGCTGCTCACTGACTTTCTTGATCCGCTGGGCTGTTCCTTCCTGGGAGGGATAAAGAGGGGGTTGGGGACGGCCTTTTGGGTGCCCGCTGCCGAGCCTGCACTGGGCACTGGCGCTGCCCCCACAGGGAAGGGCCCTGGCAGAGGGTCTGGAAGCCAGGGGTTCCCTGGTGCTCTGGTCCTGGGCTGCTCGCTGCAGGGGGCGCTGGCGGAGCACAGACTGCGGAGATCCCAGCCTCGCAGCAGGAGGCGCTCCGGGGACTGCTGCCGTAGGGCTGGGGGAGGGTCTCCCGGTGGGAGGCGCTGGGCGGGAGACCCCAGCCTTTCCCGCGTGGGTCTCTGGCTGGCTAGCTGCTCTCTTCGGTCCCCCCGCGGTTCCATTGGTTCACGGTGCGCCCACTCTTCCAGACGAGCCGACGAGCCCCAGCATCGACCTGAAGGCAAAGCACATCCCTGCCTCCTCCGTCGTTTCCAGCGCCGTGAACTCTGCCCCCGCCATCACCGGCAGCCCCTCCTCACCCACCTTCACCTTCGCCGTCAGCCGCCATTACTCCCAGGACTGCAGTAAGTACCCGCCCCTCCCGCTGGGGCAGGGACCCCCTGGGGGGGCAGCCGCTGACCAGGTCCCAGGCAGTGGGCAGAGAGCGGCCTGTGCCTGGAGCAGCCAGGAGCCAGAGTGCAGAACGAGCGAGAAGTAGGGAACGGCCCCAACTTCCAGAGGGGGGACGTCGTGAGGAGTCGGCGGAGGAAACTCGGGAAGGGAAACGCAGGGTGAACATGGGGGGGAAGCCCTCCGGGTCCTGCTGGGCCGTGGTGCAGCCTCCCCAGGGAAGGGGGTGGGATTCCCATCACTTATGTCCCGGGAAATGAGGTGTATGCAAAGCACCTGACAATCTGCTGTAGGGGATGATCCTGGCCCTGCTGAGGGGAGCTGGGCCAGACGAGCCAGGGAGGAAAGGGCCTTGCCCCAAGGGGACCCCTTGGCCTGATGAGGGGAAATGGGCTACGTAAATCAAGCAGCAGGGAGTGAGTGTGTGCCAGCCACAAGGGGAATTCTCAGGGCTCCAGTAAATCGCTCCCTGGAGGAGCCCGCTGCATGTCTGCAGATTATCTGTCCCCTCGCGCACCACCACCCCTGGGTTCCTGCCCCTGCATCCCGATTGCCCCCCTCCCGGCAGGAGACTGGAACCGGTGGGCTTCCCTAAACAACGATCAGCCAGCTTCAGTGGGAGAACCGAGTCAGGCCCTGAGCGTCAAACCAGTGCGGCTCCATTGGAGTGACTCCGGATTGACGCCTGTGTGAGTGAGAGGAAGCTCAGACCCTGAGCGCGTTCATGGACCGAGCTGCAGGAGGGCCAGGCTGTGCCGGCTCCGGTTCAGCACTCTGTGGCCAGCTCCTCTCCAGGCACCAGAGCTGAGGATCTTTCCCACGCCCTGCGTTGTTGGCCCTGGTGCGCTCTCCACATCCCAGCTCGGCTCATTACTAACCATCGGCCTGAACCACAAAGCAGGACAGGCGCAAAGCTATGGGCCCTGCTGGGGTCCTGCTGCATGCTGGGACATGGCGTACGTTGTCTCCCCGCATTCCTGGCTTGCTCGCACATATTACAGATGGAGGAGCTGATGCACAGAGAGGTTAAATGACTTGCTTGAAGTCATACAGCAAAACCGTGGCAGAGCCAGGACCCCTGAGCCCTGACTGCCAATCCCCGAGTTCTAACCATTAGGCACGTTTCCTCCCAGAGATGGGAATAGAACCCAGGAGTCCTGATCCCCAGTCCTTAGTACCGTGACAAGCTAATCCATTCCCGAGACTGGTAAAGCACCGACTGCCTTGTGAACTGGCTCTTCCTGTGTTTACTGATTGCCCCTTTCTCTCTCCTTTCCCTTTCAGGCAGCATCAAAGCCAGCCGCCGATCCTCCTACCTCCTGGCCATTACAACGGAGCGCTCCAAGTCGTGTGACGATGGTCTGAACACATTTCGTGACGAGGGGAAGATCCTAAGGTAGGGGTGACCCCTTCCCCACCCCATTGCATGCCAGCCAAACAACGGCTTCTTCCCTTCTCGGGGTAGTCCCGACCTGGCCTCACAGCTGCACACGTCAGGGTGTGATCTCCAGCTGCTGTGCATTATAGGATCACAGAGTTCAGTGCCTCCTGAAGTGCAACTATTGGCCAGTCTTGGATTTGACGGGCCGGGAGTGTGACCCATGAGGGCAGGGGGTGGGTCACAGAGCTGGTCTGAGCCACAAAAGACGTGCGGCTAGATACTGTGTGTGAGAGAGAGCAGGAGTGCTCCACGGTACTCCCTACCCCAGAATCCTTTGTGCTGTTTCACAACTAACTTTCCAAAGTTTATTGTTGTTCCCTGCCTGGCCTGAGGCTTGTCCCTAGGGGAGCTGGTGGGTTATCGCTGTGGCCTTGCTCAGTTCACCCCCTAGCTGATTTCACGGTAGCCTCCCCACGCAGACAAACCCTAAGCCAGCCTTTGCATTCATGGCCTGAGAGATGTGAGAGGGCACTTCTGAAAATCAGGCCCTAAGTGACTCCGCCAAGGTCCCGCAGTGAGTAAGTAGCAGAGCTGGGATTAGCACTTGGGCCCACGTACCCCTGTGTTCCTCTCGCTCGGCCACGCTGCCCGTCCTGGAGCAGCTCAGCCGAAGCATGGTGTGTGACCGATGCAAACCACCCCCTCCGTTTGCTGCTGCCCTCGCGGGTCTCCTGGCGGCAGATTAACGCCCAGCTCACACAAGAGTGTGGTTTGCATCGGTGGAGCCCCAATTGCCCCTGTCTTCCATCAGAGCCAGAGCTCGAACCCAGGTCTCCTGCGCCCCAGGCCGGAGCCTTCTCCACAGCCCGCAAGGAGCCAGTGACTCCTGCAGCCACAAGAAGGGGCTGGAGCCAGTGGGGACTGTCCTTGAAACGCCCTGGTGCTCGGGAACGCCTCGGGCTCACGGGCGGCTGCTTTCCTTGCAGGAGGATGCCAAGCCGGGTGCCGAGTCTGCGCATGCTGAGGAGTTTCTTCACGGACGGGGTAGGTGTTCGCAGTGAAGAAGGGGGCGGGGGTTCTGCCTGCTGCTGTAACGATGCCCACCAAGGCCGCGCCGGTACCATGCACCCCCAGCCGTGTGGATGCCACCCACCAGGGGCCTGGTTTGCGTGAGGGGAGCCAGAGCCTCATATTGGGTGGCTGCTCTGCCTGAGACCGCTGGGCGTTTCTTCCCCGCCCACCACTGTGCTATCCCGAGTCCCTCCTGAGGCTCGGACGGCCTCCGGCTAGCACAGTACAGGCCCAGCTTCTTGCACCCGGTGCCTCCGGTGGGAAACGGCAGGTTTGTGCATCGCCCCCGCATGGCCCAGAGGAATCAGTGAACAACAATTTGCACTGATCAGCTTAAAGTAGGTGACGCCCGGGATCAACTGGACGGGCTGGCGTAAAACGGGCCAAACAGCACTGGCGTCAGGGGAGCTCTCCCTGCTTCCGCCAGCAGAGAGTTTGGCCTGGTGGGTTCTGCCTCCTCTAACGCTCAGAGACGCAGGCTGGACCATGCGCTGCATTTCCCTGCACCTTGCAGAGCCCTTCGCTCCAGTGCACATCGATTCCGCTCGGATATTGACGCCCGCTCTGAGGCCTTAGAGGTGTAGGGCAGTGGGGCACCTGCTGCCCCACAGGCTCACGGTTGCATCAGTGGGAGCTGCACGGCCTTATCTCGCCTGGGATTTCAGCCCCCAGGTTTGGCTCATTGGTTTAAACCCCTCATGTAGATGCAACTGACACCGGCGCAGCATGACTTGCATCAGCGCCAGCCTGACTTCAAGCCAGAGCGAGTCAGTTTTGCTACCCCCGTGGAAACTCTGTCTACACGAGGGATTTGCATTGAGGCGGCTGAAATCCTGGTGGAGACAAAACCTGAGAGTTGCCTGGTGTGTGTATAGTCATCACGGTGCTGGGCCTGATCGAGCTGGGAGGCCTGGCTCTCCTCTCCCCAATGGGAAACCACTGCCTGTAATGCCCCGTGGGGTGAATGAGGGGGTAGCGCGCCAGAGCTGGAGAGGTGCCTCCCCCAGCACCATGCGTGCCTGGCTGCCTCTGGATGCCAGGTGTGAGCGCAGTACCCGGGAGGACCATACACTCATCTCTCCGTTTGCCTCTCCCGCTGCAGTCTCTGGACAGCCTCGGAATGTCTGAAGACACGAGATCAAAGAGGCACTCGACCTCCGACCTCTCGGACGTGACTTTCAGTGACGTGAGGAAAGAGGGCTGGCTCCACTACAAACAGATCCTCACCAAAAAGGGGAAGGTACGTGTTTACTGCGCAGGAAGCCCAGGCCAGGGGGGAAGTGCTGGGCATGCTTGTATGGAGGAGAAGAGCCTCTCTTTGGAGATGTTTATGTGATGTGTCATGTGATCCCCTTCTCCGCCTGAGGATCTCAAAGCACTTAACAAACATGAATGAACCGAGCCTCCGAACACCCTTGTTAAGGCTGGTATTGTTACTGGAAACTGAGGCACCGAACGGTGAAGCGATTGGCTAGCGTCCCACAGGGAGACAGCAGCAGAACTGGGAATAGAACCCAGGAGTCCTGCCTCCCAGTAGCTCCTGCTCTAACCACTAGGTCACACCCTCTCACACAGCAAGGAATAGAACCCAGGAGTCCTGCCTTCCAGGGGGTCCCAGGAGAGTCTCCCTTCTGCCAAGCACCCTGCCGGCCCATGTGCTAGCCCAGGAGTGCGAGAAGGAGAACAGCCGCTGGAATTTAACCGGGTGGAGGAAGTCTCATACTCACAAATGATGCCCCAGACACGGGCTTGTCCTTGGGCGTACGCAGGGATCTCTGGCCAATCAGATTCCATTGATGGCACGTGCAGGAACTCTAGTCAATCAGGGGCCTTCCCTCAAGCCTGGGCAGGGAGCCCCATTCTTCTGGCAAGGGGCATTTGGCCTGGCCAGAAGGTGAGGGCAGCTGGGGGGGGAGAGGGGGTTGGCCAGTGCAAGGAAGGCAGTGGTTTCCAGTGGCTGCACTTCCACCCCTGCCAGTCACGCCAATGCCAGCACCCTGCGGGCGGCAGACACCAGACATCTGCACTGTGCAGCAATCGCACCTGGCCAGGTCCACACACACTCCAAGGGCTGTGGTGGTGGGTCGGATGAGAGAGAGCAGGGCTGGGACGGGGCGGGTGGGTGCCCCGGGGGAGACCCAATGGAGGGTGGGGCCATCCCGCTGTCTCCGAGCATCCCCCAGGGCACGGGGAATCCTGGCCCTTCTGAGTCAGACGCCAGCGGCTGCCGGACAAGCAGCTCTGCGGGGTCTCCCGGGGGCGAGGCTGGAGTAGGGGACGGGAGCAGGGCTTGGGAGCATCCCGTAGGTGAAGGGGTTTGAATGGAGGCCTTCCCCTCTCACCACCCAAGAGGGGTTCACTTCCCAGGGCAGGGGGTTGGTGTGGGTGGATTGAGAGCGAAACGCGGGGAGTAGATCATGCCTCGGAGGGGCAGGGGTCATGGGGTCATAGGGCAGTTCCAGGTCGGTGGGGGTGGGTTTGACCCTCTGATTGGGGAACATGATTTCCCTCGTTACAATCAAAGCCCCCGGGTCAGCATTCCCTGTTGGAGCCCTGCAGGATCCCCTGCTGTCAGCCCCGGGTGGGCTTTGCTGTGATTACAATGGGGTGATTACTACCAGAAGGCAGCGGGGGTCCTTCTCTCTGGGCCCCCGGGTGAAATCCATGGGTCAGAGCTGGAAGGAACACGCTGGAAAAGGGGGCTACACGTTTTCAGTGTCTCGGCTCTGTGGGGATCTGCCGTCTGCCTGGCCGAATGCACAGACGGGGCGTGAGCTGCTCGGGTCGAGTTTTGCCAGCAGTGCCCCTGGTCTGTGTCGGGGTCAAGGCTGGGTGGCATTTCCTGGGCTGAGGCTCTGGGCCTGGATTGAGGCTGGGGGCTTTGCCCCGAGTCCCTGCATCTCAGCTGGGTGTGCACGCCCAGGTCGCGTTGCCGTGGGCATAGCCAACCGGCTCTGCCCCAGGCCTAAGTTTTCCCTGTGTCTCGGCTGTGTGGCAGCGCCTTGAACGGGTGCTCATGTCAATGCCAGGTGGCGCTGCCCCATATCGAGGTGGGCAGCCGTACCCGGGGGGCTAGACCGGCTCTCTCCCGGCCAGCGCTCATTGCCCATCCTCTCCCTCTGCAGAAAGTTGGCGGGGGCATCCGGCAGTGGAAGCGCGTCTTCGCCGTTCTTCGCGCACACTCCCTTTACCTGTGCAAGGACAGGCGGGAGGCCGTGACCTACGCGCCGCCCCAAGGTGAGGAGGAGCAGCCGATCAGCATCCGAGCGTGCCTGGTGGACATTTCCTACAGCGAGACCAAGAGGAAGCACGTCTTCCGGCTGACGACCGCTGACTTCTGTGAATATCTCTTTCAGGCAGAGGATCGGGACGACATGCTGGCCTGGATCAAAGTCGTCAGGGAGAACAGCAAGGCCGAGGGCGAGGTGAGAGCCAGCATGGGGCTCCTGGCTCCCTCCAGGCCCCTGGCTCTCCGCAGACGCCCCGGCACTAACCACTTTGGTTCTCTCCAGCTGTTTGCCTTCTGCTGCTCCTTCCAGGGCAGGGCTGGTCCAAGCGTGGCCAGTGGAGATGGCCCGCAGTTGCCCTCTTCTGGATGGAGGACCAGCTTATAGGGACTTCAAGTCCCAGCATGCCATCTTGGTGCACTGGGACTCCAAGTCCCAGC